GTAGAAGGAGGGGGGGGTGAATTGGTATTTGGTAAACAGTTTGTTAATTCTCAATAATTGTAGTTTATGAAATCATGATCTCATACACACAACACATGCAGGCACATATATATATCTATGTATACATATGTGAAAAGTTAGCGAAGCGACAATTAGTTAGTTAGTTATTTAGTCACAGATAGCACATGATCAGTGGACTAGTTGCAATTGATTTCTACCAAGAAGAATTGTGTGCAGTTTTTTCTTTAAAAAAAATCTTTTTCTTTTAAGCAGCTTTTTTCTTTGTTGCTGTAAAACGTTCCATATACTAGAAAAAATCAACAAGAAAAAAGATTGAATTAGTTGGTTGGTTGGTTGGTTATAGTAGTGTCATAACACGAAAGACAAATAAATACCATCACAAATGTGTGCACAATTAACTGAAGTGAAATCACTGTCACAAGTGACTAAGAGTCTGTTGTAATATCTTTTCAAAATGTTTATATGTTACTAAAATAAATTTATTACGTCGTTGTGAAGATTGCGAAGTTACACATTTTGAAACTATGAATCAAATTAGACATTAACACCGTTAGATACCGACTCAGTGGTCCAGAGGTTAGACGTTCGTGCACAATACCGAAGGTCCTGGATTCGAATCCTGTGAGGTGCAGGAGTCGTGGATGCGCACTGCCACTGATGAGTCCCCTACCAGAATGAAACGGCCGTCCAGTGCTTCCAGGTTTCTAATGCTGTGGTCTAACATTGATCGATTCATGGTTTCAAAATGTGTAACTAAAATAAATATAACTGTGACAAAAACTCTTAATTGTTCAATGGAACAAGACAAATATCACTCAATGTAGTGAACAATTTAAGACATTTTTCAATGAAGTTGTATTTTATGCATCAACTCCAATAATTATAAAGACATTAAACTATACAATGAGATGATATATTTAACCGAGTAAGCAATGGTATCGTTAGGAAACGAGTTCTAGGTAACAATGGCAGATCAATAGATGAAGTATTGAAACTTCATCAGTTGAGGTGGTTGGGACATGTGTTGCGCATGGCTAACCACCGACTGCCTTGGCGAGCTATGTTTTATGGTGTAGGAGTAGATTGGAAGGAAGCTAGGGGCGGCCAAACCAAAACATGGCACAAATGCATGAAGTCACTGACAAGTGGACTGAGTCATGTTGGTAGATGTAGACTACCTGGTTGGGGTCCGCGAGACGAAAGTCACGAATGGTTAGAGACCTTGAACGACATGGCTCAAAATCGTTTGCAATGGCGCAAATGCATCCATTCGTTGTGCTCTCTCAAATCCTAATCTTCTGGATTCGTGAGCACCTCTACCTTTGTCTTTCTAACCTTATCTCACTGAATTATATACTTTTTGAATAATATCTTTAAACCCTAGTCTTCTTCATTACCATTAATACCTCTACTATCTTTATCACTACGGGGTTTGCTTTGACATTTGCGTCTCTGTGCTAATGTGGTATGGCAACATGAACTTATGTACATACGTACGAAGTTCTACGTTGCAACTGACTGATTGAGATGATATATTTACTTGAAATATTTATTCATAGTAAGTAAATCTGATTATATTGGAATTGTCAGTAGTTTAGAGAATAATTAAGTAATAATTTAGTGCTTTGTATATTATTTTATTAAATCAATAGAGTAACTAACAAATATAACTAAATTATTGAATTATAGATGTTATGCTCCTCCTTTCTAATATGTATGTTTATGTTAGTGATAGTAGGCCAATCAAAAGTGGCCAAATGAGAAGGTCATATGATGATCATTAAAAAAATGCATATCATTGGTCGAGAAATGGCTTCCCTTTGCTAAGGGTGTGGAATATATATATATATATCTGTTTATTATTGAAATCATGAACCAATGATAACGACTCAGTGGTCTAGAGATTAGGCGTTCGCGCTCAAACCCGAAGGTCCGGCGGGTAGCAGTAGTCGTGGATGCGCACTGCCTCTGATGAGTCCCATACTAGGGACTTGACGGCCATACAGTGCTTCCAAGTTTCTAATGCTGTGGTCTAACAATGATTCATTCATGATTTTAATAATAAACAACTATCTCTATAATTGTTTGATGAAAAATTAGTAGGTTGATTTATTAAAATCACTTGAAATGTTCAATCATTCATTAAAATTTTGAAGTGATGCGTTGTATATATATATATATATATATATATATATATATATATATATATATATATAATGCCTGGATGGAGAATCACAATTTAAAAGATACTACTGTGGTGCGAGCTACTTATAAGTAGTATATGACGTGAGTGTCAACGTAATGTCTGGCAGCAGAAGATGGTGGAAGATCACGAAAGGAAGAGTTAGAAGACAATGGAATTTGTATGAAACGCATGAATAGTAACAATGGATTGATGTTTTGCAACAGGAACAGCTCAGTTAGATATGATGGACTGATATTTTGCAAATTAACGATTTACGATATGGTTTTCCTATTATTTTACTGAGTAACTCTGTAATTTTCGTTAAATACAATTCGGTTGCCTTCACCTGTGTTCTCCTTCACTATACTACTACTACTACTACTACTACTGATAATAAGAATAATCACAACAATACTAACATGAAACTAACCTTTGAATAACCAGGTAAATTATAAAAATCTTTCATATTGAATAAATTCTCATTGATACATAATAATGAAACTTGTGATTCAGTTAATAATTCAATTGGGAAATTTTCTAATCGTAAACAATTATGATCTAAGCGTAAAACTTTTAAACGTTCACATTGTGCAATACATTTAGATATAACTGATATTTTATTTGAATTCAAATTAATTTCAATGGCCTGTTAAGAAAATAAGAACAAAATATTAACGTGATTAGATAGATTGAAGATAACAGAATAAATACAATTTGGTCATTATATTAGTTAACTTACAGAATCGAACTGTGCCCCCCCCACCTACTTTATTCAGTTTACGAAACCGATTGTATCATTAGGTTTTATGTTCAACCTATGGTTTGGAGCCAAGTACATGAATCTATATCTGGTGGTAATCAGTGAATAATAATAGTTATTATAGCCATTATATGCAGTAAGTGTTTCCGTAATTTCTATAATGGCAGTGAAACGTTCAGCAGGTATAGGCTAAAAGTAAAATGCTCTCATTTACGAAAGTATAATGAATCTGTATTTGTTCAGGTGACTAGAATATGCTTCAATAAATATTACATTAAGGATTAAGTGAATTAATGCAAGCAATGGAATTTTAATTGATTAAACGTTTAAGATTTATCATTTCCGCAAACATCAATACTTACACCTTTGATGGGTTAGCAGATTTCACTGATTAAATGAAAATCTATTGTAACCCTCCCTAACCATTAATCAGTCCATCACGTGGCAAATACAAAACACTGAACAGAATAACGTTCAGCACCAGAAACCGTGAGTCAGTTTTAAATCCCTATCAGTTCAAAACTCGATGGTTTCTCTCACTCTGCCCTGCCTTTCATTCAAAAAGTCCGCAAGCCACGACTCAACAAAATTGCGTTATATTTCAAGCACACAGTTTATATTGCAAGTATTCCAGACTACGTCAAGCCATGAAATACATTTATACATGAGCGATCCAAAACTGGCTATGAATAAGGCAGTGAATAATAAACTAGCGATAGGTTAAGGAATAATACATCACACAACAGTAGTTAATGAGTTAATCAAAAGCTTAAGACAAAATAAATACAAATTTGTGGTTATCCTGTCACTTCATGATTATACAATGAGAATATATATGATAATAACCCACAAGTTAGTCCTGGAAGTTACCATTTCTCAAATCTTCCTCTCGATGTAACCGAAATCACTCCATGAGACTTTCCCTCGGAGGCATACTCACTTTTACAAAGACACAAAAAAAGGATCTTGCATTATCCTACAGTATTTCAGTCTATACCATTATTCATATAATACCAGTATCTAGTTTTCATCTGCCTATTATAGAGTAAACATACTCCATAACAATTCGCTCTGTATTGTTGTTTTCAGCTATGAACACAACATTGCAACGTTAGTAGCATGTGTCGATTGTTAGTATTTGACGATATACAGCTTTAAGGACATTTTCCGTATACAGCAAAACAAAGGCAATAAAGCCAGGCGTAATTTATTAGGTAGGGATAGTAAGTAACTCAGTCAGTCAGTCAGTCAGATGCAACGTAGAACTTCGTACGTAAGTAAATCAGTTCATGTCGCCATACCACATCAGCACAGAGATATAATTGTTAATTCAAATCCAATAGTAGTAGAGGTAGTAAATGTATTAGAAGTAATCGGATAGGTTAGGATCAGAAGATATTATTCAAGAAGTATGATTCAGTGAGAAAAGTTTAGAAAGTCAAAACTAGGGGGGTTGAAGAATCCAGAAGTAACTTCATGAAGCTGGTAGTACCACCCGTCAATAGTAGTTGGGATATTGTTTATCTAGACTGGAAGAAAGTTTTGAACGTGGTCGCAGTAAAAACGTAGCATCAATTTTAAAAGTCAATGACTAGTGAATTATATCAAATCAGAAAGTGGAAAAGTATCTTGTGTTGGTTTAATGATTAATCGTTTGATTGAATAATTACTACCGCTTTTTCTGTCATTACTGTTGAATTTTTTTGCTGATTCATGAGGCAAATATACAACAAATGTAACAGTCAAGGCTACACACACACACACTTTACATCTACGAAATAATAAAAATGTAACAAGATGAAGACTGGACTTATAGAATATGTACAAACGAATATATAAAATAAATGTTGGGGATATTAGATCCCCAAAATTCGCTTGATAATGCTGTATTTTGGTTTTCACGTTTCGCCAGCATGGGCTGATCAGATGACCTTGAGATTTCAATTCCCACCAGCGAAATCCATGGCTGTGATTGGCTGCAGTGTATTTTAGTATGCTATTTTCTTAACTGTCTCAAGGACGTTCTTATGTTGTATAAATAAACGAGAGTTGTATGCTTGATTGTACTGTGATTGCTGGGTGTTTGTAGAATATACTTCTACGCTTACAAAGCCTTCTATTTCGACTTGGGTATTCAAGGTAGCCTCCCTGGAAGCTGTAAAAAGTCTCGTTCGCGTTTATCGACTAAGGTAAACTCGTAATAGCCTCAAGCATACTAAGTGACGAACTTGTCAATCAATATCCCAGTAAACAAATATATCTTACTTGTAATGAACCAATAGCATTTGGTATAATACTAATTTGATTATTTGACAAATCAATCACATTAATTGGTATTGATTTTAAACATAATTCCACAGGAAATTCCGTTAAATGATTATGACTTAAATTGACATTGCGTAAACATGACAAATCATTTAGATTAACAATTGATCCAGGTGTAATAAAATTTGTTAAAATATTATTATTTCCATTGATTGATTCTAATTTTGTTAGAAGATATAATTCTGCAGGAAAATATTCTATAAATTAAAGAAAATACAGCATCAATTAATTATCATTTATTGATATATATATATATATATATATATATATTAAATCGAAGTAACCTGTAATTCGTCAAACAGTGTACATAGTTATACCTGATATATTACTGAAAGGTTGGATTACTGTATAAGACTATTACGTGATTAGGTAGACAGCAACATTATTACTATTATTATTACCTAATCCGTTTTAAAGCAATGTAGAACAGAGTACATGCCTATGAATCTGTTTAAGTTGCTGCCCTGCTTTCTTAAAAAAAACGATGAAGTGAACAAGATGACTGACAAAAAAATGGTTAGGACAATAACAATGTCAATGGTAATAAAAAAAAATACTAAATATATGACATGATATAAGATCTCGAATTTTGAAGGGGAATAAAGAATACATGCATAAAGCAAGTAAGAACCATCCTGACCAAGCAAAAGAGTGGAAAATAAACTACTACACCGAGTTTCTCAGAAAAGGTAGCATTTCAAACTGCACTGCGATGTGAAGGCTGTAAATTGTTCCTTTTAGGAAGCCGGGTCCCGATACGTTAACCCCTGTGATTTTTAAGGATGGTGGGCCAGTTTTAGCAGTTAGATTGAATGCGATCTTAGGTAGAACCTGGGAACTGGACTTAATCCCATACGAATGGTCGCAACCACTGATTGTCTCAATCTATAAACAAGGACAAAACTCCTCTTGTGACTATCACAGAGGAATCAGTTTGACTCATGTAGTATCAAAATATTAGATTCAATAATACTTAGGTGCCTAACTAAAGCTGATGAAGAGTAGACTCGGGAAAACCTGGACGTGGCTGTTTAATTACAGAACACGAGATGTACAGTGAAGTGAAATACTCCGAGAAACTACGGAACTTAGTCAATACAAAATGTGTTTTGTTCAGCGAAATAGATACAAACTTAGAATACAATAGGATAGACTTTGACAGTTAATATAGTAAGCAATTGGTCCAATTTCAACAATAATTACATATAATTAGTGATATGTAGGTGCAACAGTTATACAACTACAAGATAGGGAAAATTTGTAGCTCAAAATGAGAATTTTGGAGGTGTTTTTCTTCGAGCTATATGGTTCACTCGTGACAATGAGCTTTTTCGTAGACAATGAAATAATTTCCTTTTCTTAAATATTGTGTCGCTTTATATTTCTCACTCAGAGACGATATTTGGTTTTTGAAGTGTGTTTGCTATGTTTGAGGTTTCTATTCCAGTAGATATAATCTCCTTTACTTAACAGTTAATCTTGTTAACTTTTCTACTATACGGTAATGTGAAGTATGACTGATATACATTCTTTGTATTTAAAAAGGACATTTTGATAAGGAAAATTGATGTATGACTGTTAACTGATAGATAATGTGAACAAAACACGTAATCATTAAATGGTGCTAGAAACTATACTCGAAATGTGTACATATATATTGACAGAGGAGCGATCAGAGCATTACATAAATTGAAAATAACATTAGCTCAAATACCAGCCAGTGGGCTGGAGTGTTTATTTAAATATATTTGTTAAAACGCAAACGTTCGACAAAACTTCTCGCCAGTACAATAAACTGCACGATATCTCAACATAATTCTAATCTGAACAAAGGACTACCGAAAACGCAAGTTTCCAGACTGTTGAAAGCAAGAACAATAGGATAGAACTTCATGATAAGACATTAAAATATCTATACTATTTACCAAAAGATGGTGATATAACGTATTTAATAACTAAACAGTAACTTACTTAATTTGTTGTTCTCAACGTTTAGAACCTTAAGATTTTTTAATATGGAAATCCATGGATCGATGTTTTCGATTTTATTATTTGAGAGATCTAAACTCCGCAGATTACGGAGGTGTTTTACTTGTTCAGGAACCTGTTAGGTTATTTAACAAAGAGTTAATGGTTATCATGATGTACCTTCTTTAATTTTAAGCCACTGACTTGTAAAACACCAGTCTTCTCAGCGTTTTCGATCCTGGGAGCAATAGTATTACCCATTAGGCATGGTAGGCATGTAGAGCTAAATAGTTTTGCTGCGAATATTTTCTAGAATCTTAGTATGCACCTAAAATAAAAAAACACGAACGCTCTCCTTTAAAAGGAGTCTACGATGTCAGAAAAAACTTATACATAAGTTAAACGGAGCAATATCTATAATATGGGGATCTTGTTTCATTGTGGGATAAATCCAAAAGGCTACTAGTAAACTGTCCAACAGTCATCGATTTTTGTGACACTAGGTATATTGTGAAAGGCCAAAAGCATACAAAATCAAGACTAGTTGTGACAAACACTAGATAAGGAAATTAAGACCAAAAACTTCATAGCTTTATGTTACCTGTCGAATAAAAATTCGACTGAAGTTGCACGAAGTTAGTAAAGTGTTTTTACTGAGTTGATCAGTATTATATCAACAACATGACTTTGTTTGCCTGCCAGCATAATGTCTTCAGAACAATTCGCAACTAAAAGTAAATGAGTTGTTCACGGAAGCTATCGTACTGTAAACTTGTTGAGAAAACCGATACTTGTGGTTGGCAGTAACGCCGTATACAAAAGTGACGCGAATTGATCCCTACACTATACAATAACCAATCTCTTCTTCACGAGCTAGTATAAACCAGTTGATTTATTTGCTCTCGATTCCTGTTCTTTCGGCAGGGTTTCAGGTGTTTGATAGTGTCCAATGAATGTGGGTCTAGCTACTCGACTGTCTAATCCTAGTCAGTTTGAATCTCTTTGTGAGTCTGTATGTCCCGTGATTTGAATGAATACGTTTGTTTCAGGGCATTAGGGTTTGTGGATACCAGCACCTGTCGCAGTACCAGATCAAGGATCAGTTAGCTGCAATGTGGAGAAAAATAAGCAGAAAATTATAGTGCGAATAAGAAGAATATTTCAGAAGTAAGTAAATAACTGGATAATTTATTTTAATAATTGGTAGTGAGAAAGGACCGAAGTGTAACCAAGGAAGAGGAAACAGAGAAAATAAGCGAGATGCATTAGGTTAAAGATCTGTGGAAATGGAAATAATAACCACTAGCAAGTCTCAAGGCATGCATCAGGCACTGCCTGTGCACTAGGATGACGATAATCTGTATGTGAGTTCGTGTTTATCAATTCCCTTCTTACAGCTATCAACTGAGCGAACTGTGGTCGCCCCGGTCGAAAGAGCACTCCAAGTTCCAATAACTCTTGATGAGAATAAGTGTGCACAAACATGGTTGTTCGCTCTCTGATGTGCAATTTTTCGAGTATTGCCTCGAGGGGATCGATGGTGATGCATCGGTAAGATGCTTCAGTTTGTATGGTTTGGCATGTGTAATATGTTGTACGTCACTATCAGACCATCTTTGATTCTCCTGTAACCGAAAGGAATAAGCCCGAATGCTGGAGTCTATCCTCGTAAGTTTTATCTTTCAACCCTATCACCTATTTTATTGCTGGTCTCTGCACTGGATCCAAGAGATTTATCCACTTTTTAAGGAGAGAGAGTGCGACGACGTTGTAAACCTCAAAATGTGGGTGCGCATATGTCCTAAACAACGTTAAGAATAATTCAGGGGTGATAGCATCAAGTTGTTTTGTCATAAACTAAATATTTGCAGTAGCCTTGGCTGCGTTCCCTACAGAGTTCTAGATGTTCTGGGGGCTTCCGGTGGTTATTAGACCGAGATCGCTCCCTGAGGAGACAATAGGAAGCCAACTTCCATTGAGGGTGTAAGTCGTTTGCGTCATGAGGACCATAATGTACGTGAATTGACATTTCGGCTAGTCTACTTTTAGGCCGTTTTTCACCATTCAATCCTCAGTGGATGTAAGGTTCTTTTGAAGCTCATTCGAATCCTCTTCACTTCTAACGGACCTTAAGATCTTTTGCATCTTCTGCGTAGATCAGTGACAGTGAGCTAACTGAGTCTAACAGGTTATTATTAAATATCAGGAAGAGAAGTGGTCCTAACATGGTCCACTGTGAAACTCCTGATGTTGAGACTTGCCAACTGGCGTCCACTATATTTACCTTGGTACGAAACTTTCTATTCTCAAGGTAGTTTCTGATTCAAGGTAGGAATGGGTAGGTGAAGCCCATTTCCGCATCCTTCGCGATTAGGCGTGCGTCGGGCACTGTGTCAAAGGCTTTCGCAAAGTTAGGAAATATTTTGTGTACCAGTATTTTTCGGTCAAAGCAGGTTGTCCAACTGTCCCATGCTATAAGAATTTTGGATGCAACCGATCTGTTTTTCCGAAACCCATGTTGAGCTTCATGGTGTATTTTATCCTTACCCATGAACTCCCTCGTTTGCTCGTTCACCAGTTCTCCCATTACCTTTGATAGTATTGGTAGTAATGTGACTGGTCTGTAACAGGCTGGGTCCTTCATATCTCTTTTCTTGAAAACTGGAGAGAGAGTAGTTTGTATCCATTCAGCTGGGAGTTCGTGCGACTCAAATCAATGCCCGAACTGGTCATATATCGGTGAACAGAGGGATTCCGCACATATCCAACTTAAAGATTTTTCTTTTTCACGTAGTTTAGAATTACCATCTGAATAATGTCCTCCATGAGTAAGTCTAACAGGTTGACAGTTACTCACTACGTCTCTATCACCCGCTGTATAAACCAGACTGATGATTGTATCTTCCAATCTCTTGAGAGTTCAGACTACCTCAGATACATATCAAACAGTACTGTTAGAGTTTTTGAGATTGCATACGCCAGTGCTTTCATGGTCCTAGGACGGAAATGCCTCGGAAAATTGAAATTATCTGGTTTGAGATGCTGAAGGAATTGTAAGATAGTTCCTTTCCTAATAATTCCTTCCTAATTACACCACCATTATAATTAACGACTAGTATTTCATCTATGTCGACAAAAAGCAATAACAAAATATTTGATAAGGTTTCTACATTCTCCTTATCACTTCCTGTTAATGTTCTTGATGCAGGACTGACGGCATCCAAATACTCCTCTATGCTCACCGGTTTATATATAAAAGAAACCTTCTCGGACTAGTTCCATAATTCTTAGCCAGATGTTTCTCATTCGAAAGTCTGGACTAACTTGTTAACCCCTCGCATGCATTTATTGTTTTTCAGAGGGTGCATGTGTACTATTCAAAGCCTGTAAAAACAAACAAATTCCATCGCTTTTGCCTGCACTTGAGAATCATATCCGCTACTTCAGTTATCCATGATGAACAGTTATTAGGTCTTAGTGGCACTAAGCACAGGATGTCACTGAGATAAGTCTATTGTTCATTCGAAACCATGCTTCTTCAATTGACAAGATAGCACTTGCCTAACAGTCCGCTGACTCGGTACACCATTTTATTGCTTTATGTTAGCGCTCCACACATTTAGGTGAGGCTGAACTTAGTCACGTGGTGCGTCTTAAAAATGACAGCATTATCATCACTGGCTAACGGATGTAAAATATCTATATAGGCAATAACCCCGGGTGCGTGACAGATCAGCAAGTCTAACAAAAAAACCACTGGTCTGAAACAAAACTTGTTGATTCAGATAGTTACTGTACTGAAATGGGTTCCGTCAAAGTCATTAGGAGCCTACTTTTAAAGGAATTTTAGGTCCTCCAATGTATATAACTATCCGTTTGACATTAGGTGCATTTGAATCTCCTAAAATCAAGCATATAATATTTTTATCCAGCAGGCAAACATGCTCTAGAATAAAATCACTGACCGTGTAGTTTGAGCTACTACGGATGATTCTAAATATAAATATACAACTTTAAAAGTGTGTTTACAGCCCGTGATTTCAATGGTTCCATGGCAGTGAGATTCTAGGACGAATGGGTGAAAATTTAGATTGTTGATCATGGCTATGAGGATTTAGTCTCATTTCCCACATGGATTCCTAATACTTTATAGATAATTGGGCCTAAAAAATTCTGGAATATCGCCAAAGCCCTACGCTAATCAAGTATCGGATTTGATTCATCCACCAGTATCTCTAGTCTATAGTAAATGTAGTGGTCGTTTCCTCACTAGTTTGTGTCAGTCGGTATTAGATATGTTCTTTTTCTATGTATGCTGCTCGTCCAGACAACCGTTACTAAATAATGCCTCAATGTTTATAAATCAAAAGAAGAATACGAATTTGTGAATACAGTTATTTGGCACAACAACCACTGGCACATGAGACAAATACAATAAGTGACTTCCGAAAAGCAAGCAAGCGAGTCAGCGAGTTAGCGAATGAATGAATATGATTATTGTACATAAGCAAATGGATGAGTCATAGAACTATTCAGTAGGCTAGTATGAAAGCGAATAGGATGAACATGCGCGCAGGCGTTAAGCAATGCTCAGTCATACCTACTCATACAAACCCGAAAATAATACAAGCCAATGGTAGATGTAAGTGATTGATATACAAATGACTCAGTTAAGGTAATCGAAAGGCTTAACCAAATTGAATATAAACAAACTCGACTGACTGTGGAGGTACTGCAAACGTATGATATACATAGCTAAAAAGACCAAGAATGACTTTATTTATAAGTAAAGTAAAAAGTGCAAGTTTTGAGGCATTCAAAAACAACCAGAAAAAAACTCAAAACTGATCTCCTTAGGTGATTCAGACACTACCCAGGCTCTTAACAGTCTGAAGAACGGCATATTCGTGTTTTACATCTGCCAAGTGAAGAGACTGATCGCTGTGGATTAGCACATGAGGTCGGGCAAGCAGTCGTATAATTAAATTAAAGCCCGATAATTTTGCCAATATCAAAACTATGTTAATTTTAGATAAGGTAGTTCGGTTAGAATGACATGGATCAACGGAATATGAAAAACATCATTAGGACCACATTTCTTCATTTCTTTTGAACCAAAGGTAACTACGACCTACCAATCCACAATTTATAGAGTTTTCTCCTGAATCCCGATATTCATAAAAGTTTTCTGTCTATTGTTAACATATTATTGATTTCTGTTTGGTATTGCTGAAATTAATATTCCTGTTACTAAGCTCTCAGTCAGATGCATAAAAGGATTCACATATCCACATTCAGTATTGAAAATGCCTTTTAGTTTAAATGCAGCAACATACATAATTTCTTTTCTTCTAAAACACCGCCTTTTATGAATCATTATGAGTCATTATCGTTGATTTTTGGATAATTTATCTACATAATTTATGAAGAAATCTAGGTAAGTTTTTTTGGATAACATTGAAATTTTTAATTATTGAAACATGGTAATTGATACTTATATTATCAGTGAAGAATGTTAGGAAGGGGTTGTTGAACCATCTTGTACACATATTGTAGTTTTTAGTTAAAATTTATACTGTGTATAACTGAAGCGTCAAAAGTATTTAGCAGAGTATGTGTTATTCGAGATTTTAGTCACTTCAGTATGTGTGATGTACTTTTTACAACCTTTTCAAGTTCTATCAGAAGATCTAATGATAACCTGTTGATGGTTGTCCTCATTTTATTGATTTATTTTTTCGAATTTATCAATTTGTAATGCTAAGTTGTTTGCATGTTCATTGTTTTAATGGACCTTATTAAGCTTTTATTCCATGAGTTACATGACAATA